GCTGGCAGGGGACTGTAGCCAAAATTGAGTTTGTCTTTAAGCTCTTCATCCATTCATCCAAATTAGGCCCTAACATGCATGGATTGCATCATTTACTATCCAAAGCCCTCATTATTACCTAAAGCTCAATGAACTGAAAGATAAACACAAAAAGGATTAAAAGCACAAGTTTAACTCAAAAACATAACCAAATCATAAGCTAGAAGGGTACAAAATGATATACAATTATGAACCGATCAGATACCATGCACAATCACATGCCTTATGAGAATCATGCATCCTGCACCTAGATACCATAGGCTTGTATGCGATAATTTATTGTTGATGAGCTCGAGTCAATTTCTATGCATTCATAACTTGGATAGGAACACTAGTGGTAGATTCCAAGGCTCTAACATTTCTCAATCATTGTTTCACAACTTGTTGATTGCTGCCATTGTTACTTTCCAGCACTTTCATTTCATTCTCTTGTTTCCATTTCAACAACAAAACCCCCCATTTCGAGTGCGTGTGTGGTGCTAGGATTCTGTCCTAGACCTTGCCATTTGTTAGTTTGTTTGTTTCTTTGTTTTTTGTTTTTTCATCATTCTAAGTAGTTTAACTTGTAACCACGTTACCATTCTCCGTGGGATCGACCTCATATTTACATAAGCTATACTATTAACGGTTCGTGCACTTGCGAGAATTGAAGTTGCTATTTTTAATAACTCATTTTATTTGTTAGGAATAGGCTCAACAAATAGCCAATGAGTTCCCACCACAGTGGTGGTGGCTTCCCCCTTCCCCCCATCACACCCCAGTTCAAACCCCAAGGTCGAACTCCAATGTAAACTCCAATGTAACAAAAAGAAATCCCAATTGAATACACCCGCCTTAGATCCAAGGCCACGAACCCTGAGTTTTATTTTATTTTTATTGTTACTTAATTTGATTGTAATAGTTGAGTCCAGTTTTTCTTACAAAAGACAACAATGCATGTCCATTACAATTTACATGGAGTTTTTCTATTAAAAAAATGAATCTATCAGGAATAAGGAGGTGCCCTTTTTAATTTGTTGGATGAAGTTTTAAACAATTACTTTTTTTTTTAAATCAGAGTGAAACTTCGTACTTGAGACCTTTTTAATTGGTAAAAGAAATATTAGACCGAGAATTTAGTATGTTCTCGACAATTAAGAGCATGCAAAAGAATGTATTTCATAAAATTATTTTAGAAAGTTACAACGAAGTGGGAATTAAGAAACGATAGTTTACTAGTTTTGTAGAGCCGCCAAAAGTTTGTGCTTGATAGTTTTGTTTGAAATGACTTTGAAATACAATTTTGAATGATTGTCTTCAAAAAGTTCTAGTTCTTGTAACGGGATGTTTAATTTTGAGTGTTTTTGGTCTGAACCATGAGGTGGTCCTGGATGGGCCCCAACTATGGGTGGCACCTTTAAGCCTTAACCACAACCCAGACTAATCCCCACTCACACCGAGTCGGCCCATAAGGGGTAAAGTGTTGGCCAAAGTAGTGACTCCGTACGAGAGCAGGGATCGAACCCCTGACCTCTCTTAAGGAATGAGAGTGTCGAATCACTCACACCAACCACCTTGGTTACGGGATGTTTAATTTTGAGTGCTGCTAAATGAACTCTAAAATTAATTGAGTACACCCTATTACCAAATTAATTATTGAATTATTAATTTACCCTAATATAAAATAACAAAAAATAATATATTGAATTGTGAAACAAATATAATTTTAATAAGTATACCATACTCACCATATTCAACCCTAATCAAATGTAGAGAAGTTTTCGTATTGCTTGGTGCTGAAGGCGAACAACGCAGCGAGCATTGGCAGAGGCGCAAGGATGTGTCATTGAATATTCGTTCCTTTGCCCATTCCTTTGCCGACCAACAGCCCTCCATCGCTGCTCAACAACTCCTCCATTAGAGATGAAGGTTAAAGAAATTATTAAGAAACTAAATCCGAAAGTGGAACACCATCTAACTATTCATAGCAATCATTGAAGTTATTAGTTGGATCTAAGATAGTAAGATTCAAATATAAGAAAGCATTTGGGATTTAGTTTTCATTTGAATCAAGTTTGCAGTAGCTATTAGACCCATATGGCTTGCTGTCGAACCAGTTTTAACAAATTCATTATTTGAAGACTAAATCAAAACCCCATTGAGATGAGAGAAAACTGAATTTGCAGAACAAATAAAAACCCAGATTTGTTCAAATTGACTCCTTTTAATGTGAAAAACAAAAGCTTTAGAAGAAATTAAAATATGACATGGCAAATGAGATGTATTGCCATGTCATGTGCCACATGTATTGGTATTCAAAAGTTGAGATTTAAGTTGGTGCCCGTAATATTATTAGTGTGATAAAATGTTAGGGTGTACCAAGAGTAATTTTGGTAGTTAAATATGGTGTAATTAGGTAATTTTACATTATGATTTAAATATTAAAGTGTACTTACATCAAAGGGTGTAATCAATTAATTTCAGGGTTCGTTTAGCAGAACTCTATCTTAATTTAAATTCTTAGGACAATGTTGCTAGTACAAAGAAAAATATAAATGTAAGTATATGTTTACACTCTTGTTAAAGTTTGTTTTGTCTTCGAAACAACTAGTCTATTAATCTAGATATATTTCTCTTCACTTGATCATACGACGTCTCAATTTTAAATCCATAAAAAAAAAAAGTGGAGTAATTTTGGGGTGTTCCGGGTACACCACGGGGCTGGTGTACCATCCAATAGACGGAGAACATATGGAATATTTCCAATACAGCCCGCCACATGTCATAAAAAGAAATGCAGTAAGTTGAAAAATAATTCCACATGTCCTCCGTCTATTGGTTGGTACACTAGACACGTGGTGTACCCGGAACATATAAAAATTTCTCGTGAGATTTAAGTTGGTACCCATAACATTATTAGTGTGATAAAATGTTAGGGTGTACCAAGAGTAATTTTGGTAGTTAAATATGGTGTACTTAAGTAATTTTACATTATAATTTAAATATTAAAGTGTACTTACATCAAAGGGTGTACTCAATTAATTTCAGGGTTCGTTTAGCAGAACTCTATCTTAATTTAAATTCTTAGGACAATGTTGCTAGTACAAAGAAAAATATAAATGTAAGTATATGTTTACACTCTTGTTAAAGTTTGTTTTATCTTCGAAACAACTAGTCTATTAATCTAGATATATTTCTCTTCACTTGATCATACGACGTCTCAATTTTAAATCCATAAAAAAAAAAAGTGGTGGCAAAGTGCAGAGAATTAAAATGGTGGCAAAGTGCAGAGAATCAAACATTGAACGAAGGCATAGGTAATTAGATTAATTGCACTTTGAAGTTGAAAATGCGGAGCCTCACACGTTTAGGAAAGCCATTAAGCTCTATAAGATGCTATGAACAATACGTAGATTTAAAATTCTAATTCAATAATCAAACTCTATAAATAAAACCCAACTCAAATTTTTTCCCACTCATTTGAATTTTGCTACTTCCAGCGACCATGGCTACTTCCACTCCACCACCAACACCACCCCATGCGGTAATTTTCCCTTTCATGGCTCAATGCCACACCATTCCATTGCTAGACATATCCAAGGCCTTGTCAAGCCGTGGCCTGAAAGTCACCGTCGTCACCACCCAGCAAAACGCACCGTTTATATGCTCCAAAGTTTCAGACTGCTCGTCAATCTCCATCTCCGTCGTGCCATTTCCAAGAGTCCCTAACTTCCCTCGAGGCTGTGAGAACACCGCCAGCCTTCCTTCCATGGAGCTCCTCGTTCCCTTCATCGCAGCCACCAAAAAAATGAAACAGCCATTCGAAGCTCTTCTGAAGGAGATGGTGGAAAATGGTTCCCGCCCAATTTGCGTAATCTCCGACTTCTCTCTCAGTTGGACGCTCGACAAGTGCCGCTCTTTTGGCATTCCACGTGTTGTGTCGCATGGGATGGGGGTGCAGCCCATGGTTGTTCTTAAAACCGTTTCTTCTATGGATGTCCAACGTGAATCGACGTCGGTTTCGGGTTCTGTAGTAGAGTTGCCCGATTTGAGTCTTCCTTTCGCGTTGGATAGATCCGACTTACCGCCCCGGAGTGATAACCCGGAGGAGGATGACCCGTTTTCACGTGTGATGTGGGAGGTTGAAGAGGCCGATAGGAATAGCTGGGGTGTGATTGTGAATAGCTTTCAGGAACTTGAATGCGAGTACGTGGCTGCATTGGAATTTGGAAGTTTTGCACAATCAGGCCAAGGCATGGTGTGTGGGGCCCGTTCTGCTTTATGATTATATTCCACGAGGGACTGGTGGGTCCCATGATAAGAGTGAATCATGTCCCTACATCAAGTTGCTGGATGAGCAAGATGGATCCGGTGCGGCCATCTACCCAAATCGCTTACGGGCTGGAGATGGCGGGATGTCGGTTCATTTGGGCTGTGCGATTGGGGACGTGGGCTCCGGATGAAGGATGGGGAAAAAGGGTGGAAGGGAGAGGGTTGGTTGTACGTGATTGGGTGGACCAGAGGAGTATCCTAGCACACCCAAAGGTGGGAGGGTTTTTGAGCCACTGTGGGTGTGGAACTCGGTGTTGGAGAGCTTGCCAACAAAAAGGAATAAAACATGTAAAAGTTTATTTAGCCATGATACTGTAATAGAAGTTATATAAATCAGAAATGTAATTCATATAGTTCTACTCTTTCACATAGAATTCTCATATTTCAAACAAGAGTTAATAATTTGGTCTTGCATATTCACAATGCTACCCCCATCTTTTAGATCATTTAAAGATCAAGAGTTAAAAGTTTAATAAGGTAGCTCAGCCATCTTCTAGATCATCAAGTTCCTTAATCTTCATCTTCTGGATCAAAATCCTTAATCTTCACCTCAGCATCTTCTCCATACTGAATGCAGGTATCGATCTGAGCCAGGACATAGCTTATGCTGCCAAAAAAGAGAAGGAAAACAGAAGAAACATTATGTCTTGAAGATTTTGGATGAGGAAGATGACGAAAGAAAAAAACAGAGGAAGAAGAAAGGAGGAAGGAGAGAAGAGGGAGAGGAAAAAAAAAATTGGGGCCCCTGAAGGAAGAAGAAAAGAGAAAGCAGACGAGGGAGAAAGAAAAAAAAAGGGAATGGGGCCTGGAAAGGAAGAAGAAAGGAGGAAACAAAAGGGAGAAAAAAGTATACATTTTTTATTTCTTATGATAATTTTAGGTTTTTAAAAAAAATTCATCATGGTGCCCTTTATTGTCATTATACACTCTCACAGCACTTCTATAAAAAAGTTTACCAAACATTATAAGACTGCTTTTTATACTCACAGCACTTTTACAAATATAGATTACCAAACACTTTGCTGCTTCACTTCATAGCTGTTTATTTTCACAGCACAGCAGAAGCAGTTTTTTTTAAAAGCACAGCAATACCAAACTAAGCCTTAGACGGGCAAAACAGTGATCACAAGATAAGACTAAAGACATCCAGGCAAACATGCATAAAAAGAGAGTACCTTGTCGCTTTTCTCAAGTTTAGAGGCACAAAACTCACCATGCCATAATTATCAACCTAACAAACCAAACAGTAGAAGATAGTCACTATTTGCAGTAATGCAATTTTTGTGTATTTATGTGTAGACCAATATAGATATTGTGCATCGTGACCAAAATCTTGAGAACTCCTGCAACTAATCTCAAAGTTCAAAAAAGTACTCTTGGGTTTTCAGTGGCTTCTCACTTACCAGTTCAACCAAAGATTTGTTTAGCTTTGCAAACTGAGGAGCCATGCGTTGATTCAACTCTGATAACAAAACTTGAGGCTCCGGATTCAAGAAACTGAAACATTACAAATGCAGAAAAAATTGAGCAATTAAAATAAGCTAAACAGATTGAAAAAACATGCAAGGTGATAGCAGTAGGAGAGAATCGAGTATCTCACTCTTCAACATCCTTTTTTTTGGCCACAAGGTCCATTTTGGAGAGGATATTGACATGTGGCACTTCAAGTTGAATCATTGCAGAAAGGGATGACATGCACCCACTAATAAACTTTGTCACATCCGTCATGAACTGTTTCAATAGAAATTGGAACGATTTATTTGGTGAGACAAACAGAATAACGAGTAATGCCAAGGCAGGAAGAGAAAATACTACAGAGTAGAACAACAAGCAAGTAAGTATACAGACCTGTGAATCAAGCAAGTATACGGCGCAGACGTTGAAATTTTTACGCTTCAAATGGTCCACAAAGTTCTTTAGCACAGGAACATGTGAAAAAAGTTCTATCTGGCCTATAACAAAAGCAGAAGTCTCAAATTATTTTGTGTCACACAATTCCTTTAAAACACACACTCACACAGAACTAGGAGCCTTGACATAATTCTACTTTACTAGTATGAAAAACCATGCAGTACCAATGTTTAATCCTATTTCTCGAAAGTTAAATCATTGATAGCATCGTGTGGTAATAAGTGACCGAGGAAAATATATCTATATGAATGCCTTCTAGATAAACGGCCCCTCTTTTAGATAAACAGATACAGGAGCCCTAGTTCTTTCTTTTTTTAGTTTATTTACGTAGTATTCTTTCCCTAACCTTATCAAAAACTCCATCATTTCAGTTTTTCCCTTTTAATGTAATTACTTTCATAAAAGACCTTAACCTCATTGTAGTCAGCTTTTCATCAAAAGATCTCAACCACTGATGCATGATAATAAATACAGACAACAAAGCATGCAGTGTTAGTATGGATACCTGGGCAGTCAAAAACTAAGTAGTCATCATCCAAGTAATTGTCCAATTCCTCTGTGAGCCAATCATCCAGATTGTCTTCAAGGTGTCTAGGAATCAAGATTAAGGCCATTCACCAAAGAATTAAAGTTTTTACAGAGAGGGATCACACCCGGAAGTAATATAAATGATTCACTGTTTTTTCCGCACTTAAACATTCCATGTCTGTTAGCCTTTAAAAAATTGCAATCCTCACAGGTGAAAAATAAACAAGTAGAAACAAAACCATAAGAAATGCAAAGAACAATTTCAGGGGAAAAACTAAAGGATACTCCATGCAGTACAAAAGTCCACCATTGGGACCCAATCCAAGTTCCTCCATAACATCATCCAAGGAAACAAGCTCCCTAATATCTGCAAGAGGGAAAAGAGAAGAAGAGAACACAAATTGAGTGCAGTGAGTGAAACTAAACAAGTGACCAAATATATGAATTGACTACTTACCCATGGCCACAGGGTAGTCAAAATTTTCTGCAGCAGGATCCAAGTTAATAATATGAATATTCCTCCCAACAGTTGTACAGTGTTCGTGCAACTTAGAGCAATAAGTCGACTGGTTGCAAGAAGCAAACAAATTCATCAAAAATAATAATGGGTAAACAAAAGACCTCAAAGAAAATATTAATCATAGTGATTTCCCATGTGATTATGATGTATCCCACATTGAAACAGTGTTGGTGCAAATTAGAGCAATAAGTCGGCTGGTTGCAAAGGAACTCATCGAAGTGGGTACATAAAAAATGCAAACATATTAATCAATACTCATTGCCCAAGTGATTATTATGATGCATCCCACACTCACATTCAAACAGTGTTAGTGTAAATTACAGCGGAAAATCAACTGGTTCCAAGAAGAGAACTCATCAAAACTAGTAACGGGTACATAAAAACATGCAAACATATTAATCAATACTCATTGCTCATGTGATTATGATGCATCCAACATTCACATTCAAACAGTGTTGGTGCAAATTAGAGCAGAAAATCGACTGGTTCCAAGAAGCAAACATACTTATCAAAACAAGAAATGGGTACATAAAAACAAAAAACAAAAAAATAGTCATAGTGATTGCCTATGTGATTATGATGTATCCCACATTCAAACAGTTGGTGCAAATTAGAGCAAGAAATCGACTGATTCAAGTATTGGGTACATAAAAAAAATCAAAAAATGTCAATAATGGTGTGAAATTACCTTGCCGCTGCCAGCAGGGCCAATAACCAGTTGTGCATAACCCATTTTAGATATCTAGGTTTTCTTCCGATGCTGCTAATTCAGAGAAGAAGACGGAAAAAGTTGAAGATTGGGGAAGACGAGAAGATTGCAACTGCGAGATATGCACTGCACCAAACGCCAATTGCCAACAACCAATCGAGGGTATTAGAGAGTCCCATCACCTACTTAAATATAATACAAGAATATATTGTTAATGGATTCTGATTAATTAAATACGAACCCTCTCAAAACGCAGAGAGAGCTTTACCTGCTCTGCTTCACTCTGATAGAAAAGGGTCTAGGGTTTTGACATTTTTATGATGAGTGTCTTTTCTTTGTCTTTTGCCGCTATTTTTTCTTTCTTTTTATTTTCTTCTCTTTCAGAATGGCCCACGTCATCATGCTGATTGTGGATTTGTTCTTCTTTTTTTCTGTTTTCTTTCTGGGACTGGAATATGTTGCATTTATGATGAAAAAGGTTTTTTTTTTTTTTTTTTTTTGGTATTTATGAAAGTATGAAAATAGATTTGTTATGAAAGGATGAAAAGAGTTGCATTCAGCCAGCTTGACTTTACAGCAAATAAATTCCGAAAGGAAACAATTCCTCAGAGAACTTGATAACATTGTGAACCTTTACATCAATTTTCAAGACATTAGAGTATAATGGCATTTTTTTTTCGCCAAAGTTAAGAAATGGGAGAGGGGTTTTCTCAAACACACGGGTCTCCAAGTCAAGATTCTTTTCCACTAGGCCAGACCCCATTAGTGAGTATAATGAGATTATCTTTGCCATAACAAGGATTAAAATTTAATTCTCAAATTATATGGAACTCAAATACAATCTCAAAATTGTGACATCTCTGAAAGAAAGTAATAAGGGCATATTAAAGCCTTGTACAAAGTAACAGGCTCAACCAAGTTGCCTCTTTTGCAGCTAAAGTAAGCATATCAATACATTTTATAAACACGGCACACGCAAAGTTTACTCTCCCTTGTATGCTATCTGCTTAACTTGTTTCACTCTTTCAAAATCTGGGGCATAGAAATTCTTTTCCACCTCCCAAGCTAATTGAGACATACAATTAAACGTTGATTTTGCACCCTTCTCGTCGGTCACATCCCTGGGAAAGGGAATGCGAACCTCGAATATACCTTCCTGAGGAGACCAAAGACGCAGGTCAAAGCCTAACCGATCAATCCAAATCAATTTTGCTTCAGAAACCTGCAAAGCAAAACAGTGTACCATGACCACATAGCAAGAGAAAATACAACTTAATGCAGATTCACTGAAAGTGATGTATAAACCAGTCCTCAAGGAATGTTAATAAACGCTTTTACTAAACAGTTAATGCTCCTCAAGCTTCTTGAGGAAAAATGGTTATTTGGTTTATAGAAATCCTGTAATAGAAATGGAAGGTTTTTCTGACACCTCAATATTGTTGAACAGGCAATGAAACGGTTAATATCTTCAATGTTGGTTGGCACAAACCTGGAAGTTCAAATCAGCATAGATGTTGCAGAAACGGTTAATATCTTCAATGTTGTTGGTGTTTATCTCATTCACTAGCTTTTCCGCAAAGTCCCGAAGAGGATCAGGTTGTGCATTTTTATAATCTGAAGATGTAACCCATACACCACCCTGTGAGAGTATCATAAAAGTTAGAAAACAGATAAGCCTTTGAATAAGTCCTCCGTCTAAATACATACCAATTTAAAAGCTACAGGCAAAACTTTATAGGATTAGGCCATACCAGTATCGTAAATAACTATTGCTTATAATTTACTAGTCCAGCACAGGAGCAAATAAAACACCAAAATACCTCTTTAAAGTCCTCCAACTGAAGTACCCGTTCCACAGAAACAACATATATAAGGTCTTCGTCGACCTCTTCTCCAAACCTCTTTGTCCATACTGAATGAAGGTACTGACAGTAATGGCATTGAACATCCAAATGAAAGATCAGATTATAACAATATAACACCTCACACATACATACTAGCAAAAAAACAGATCACACATGAATGCTTTTTATTAGCTTTAAATGGATCAATAGGGCTCTTTTAGTTGAAAATAATGGATTAATAAGGTATCAAGAAGCCACTACACATAATACCTACATGGGACTGTCTATGCTTCTGTTGGAGGACTGAGTCCAGCACATAAATCCAACCACACAATGCTGGAGTTTAGGTCTGTACAAAATTTGGACGACCAACTAAGTCAGGAAGTTTCATTGCCAAGCCAATATACTAAAGTGGTGTAAAGTCTAGACACAGCCTGGTCCAGAAAGCCCAGAGCATGGCCACAGAAATATTTTGCCTCAGGTTGCAGTGATTCTGGGTATCTGGAAACTGATTTTCTATAAGATTTCCTTTTTTGGGTTTAATTTAATTGTGTTGCTTATTATTAAGAAATCTTTTCGTTTTCATATCCGATTGCCTCTCTATAAGCAAGGCTTTGTAAGAGATACACAAACTGAAATTTTAGGCAAGGTCACTTTATTTTAATGTTGAGGTTCCAATAAACTTCTCCCATGTGAGATTCCTGGAAGCCCTTACAACATATCTTATCCTCTAATTTTCTGCCCTTATATTCAACTTCCAATTACACCCAAACAATAATCCAACCCAATCCTAATGTCAAAACTGCACATAACACACAAAACAATAACTTGCACCTCAGAACCATAATATGGTACATGTTGGTCAATCATAAATCATACTGTTTAAAGGTTATGCAAGCCGGGGGCATATGAGAGATAGCTCTAGTACTTACTTGAAAAAAGCCATGGCAGTCTGCCATAAACATCCTAATATTCTATCCTAATGCAAATAATGCAATCATAATTTGAAACGGACTAGTTGCAGTTGGTGGAAGACTATGGAACTTCGACCAAAAACCAAGCATCGTAAATATGTTTACTTTCAAGTTATGCATCCTTCATAGTGACTTCCATCTTTAGTCCGCAAAGATCAGCAACAATTATGCTTTTAACATGCTTCCTTTAAATAACTTAAGCAGCACACTAACAACGAGCTAATTACTTTGTAACATAAATGATAAATTGATAAATAACATTGCACTTCCAAGTAAACCTATTCGACCTAAGCAAACATAATTTACCTTCAACATCCTCCTGTCTTCTGGTTTGTCAATGCTACCTAATATCGTGCATTGAGGCGTCCGCAGCCCACATTGCTCTAACTGTGCACCAAAGAAAATAACAACAACGCCTCACATTGAGCTTCATAATCAACCATATACCTTAGAAAATTAGAGCCCTTTAAGGCTGTGAACAAAATGCAAACACATAGTGTTCGATGAGAAAAGCACCTGGACATGGAAGCTAGACCTCCTGTCAATGGAGAACTGCCGATTAGAGGCATTCAAGCACAAGACTGGAGTGCCTTCTGGGTCAACAGCGAAGCGAACGCCAATACCCAAAGGCCAACCTTCTTGGGTCAAAGTAGAAAGCGTGCCCACAGACACCAACTCCATAATAGTCCTTGAAACCTCAGCCGGAAACGGCTTATGGGTCTTCTTCTCCAAGTGGGTCGGCTCTGAAACCGTCGAAAGCGAGCATTTTAGTGTTCTCCACTGAGTTTTGAGAAATGGGTTTTGCTTTGAAGGAGTGAAGAATTGGGTTTTGGGAATTGGTTTTGAAGGAGTGAATGGAAGAGCCACATGGGTTGTGAGAGATTGAGTTTGGAGAAGCATTTGATGGAAAGCTCGTGTAAGATTGTTAATTCAATTGGGTTGATTTCTGAGAAGTAGAGACAAATGTTGTGAGAATTTTTTGGTGGTCAATGAGATTGAGAGGGCTGCAGACTTTTTAAAAAAAAAAAAAAGAGTGACAGTTTGGACAACAGTTGAGAATGGAGGAGGTGGTGGTGATGATGTTGATGATAAGTTGGAAAGGAATCAGAAAAATGTGAAGAAAATGAGAGCAGAGATCATCTATCTGCGGCTGCAAGAGAAGCCGAATAGGGCCTAGCGATGTAACAAATCGAAAGCCAGATGGGTGTTGAAGTTTGACTTGAAATTACAAAAATAACCCTTCTTTCTGTTTCTAGAGTGCCCTCCAAAACCCAGAAACTTGTTTGCATTTTGATGAGAAGAAAATGAAGGCAGAGGCAGCAGCAGCAACCTTCAACAATCCCATTCGGCCCCTCCCATCCAATCTCAACTCATCACCCATTTCCCGCCAAATCAACTTCCCTTACCAAAGGTGTCTACTTGGTCGATATAATTCCGTCAAAGGTGAGTTATTTTTCACTCCTATGTAATTTGTAAACTCCGCAACTCAATCTCCATAAAAAAAGAAAAAAGAAGAAGTTATTTTCCTCTTGTTTAGTTGCGGAGGCAAGTAAGCATATTAAATAGATAACCCAGAATTTCATTGAAGTGTTAAGTCAGTGAACCAGCTCGTTGTTCGGTTTAGCTACAGCTTTAGTTTTTTGTCATAAGTAATTGGAAAAATGAAGCTTAATTTTTTAGTTTCTCTGAAATCAAAGGGCCATATCATGTTGTTCATTTGTTTAAGCTTGTGAAACTGTACTTTTGCTTGTGTGATTTGTGTGTACTTATGTATGGACTTACGTATTTGTGTGTATAACTGCAAATTATGCTCCTTTAGTTTTGTCTTGTTGTCTCCAGTTTTAGAAAAATGGTATGTACTTGTAGGAACATATGATTATGGTCTTTGTTTGGGCGTGCAGGCTTGCAGTTGTACAGCAATGGGTCTCTACAGTATACTGGTGTAGTAGTTTGTGCTGTCAATGGAGGTGGGAGAGGGTATGTATCTTCGTGGGACGACAAACCATATGAATATCTTCCAACTGGGAGAAAATCTTACTTGGATGAGCAAGACATTGTCACATTTCTTGACCCTCCTAAGGACTTGATTCCTCTGGACTCGGCTTCTTACAATCCTGCTGCATATCTTTGGTCAGTTTTCAATCATTATCATTTTTAAAATTTTAACTCTTTTATGTTATTTTTTTACTTAGATTTATGGTACTTTGAAGTTATTCTTCGTTGTTGTGAAAATGCTGAGAAAATGAACAAATATTAATTCTTAATCTGTTACCGTTTTTAAAATTGTATGTCTGTGTTTGTTAGGAAAAAAATTGATGATATTCCCCCAGAAAGGCGTCATCGACTGCTGCGATTGCTAGAACCTAGGTAACTTGCTTATGCTATATTTTAAAATCCACTCAATCTCGTCTTACAATGACAAGTTATGAAGACATAAGGCACTTATGTATCTTTATTTTATAAAGAATTTTTCTTTTGAAATTAATAGATTGAATGTAGAGTCTTTGACATCTGGATAATTTTAATGCAGGCTCATATCAAGAGCTTGGGAGATAGCTGGCACAAGATATGAGGATCCCAACTTAGCCAAGAGAAGTGCATCTAAATTGTTGTCCAATGAAGATGGTGCAATTTCTCTTGAATATTATAATTGCCGAACAAATGGAGGTAACTTACATAGATCAAGCTCTTTCTACTGGAAGCTCTAATGTCCTCATTAGTGCTTTACAATAATGATTGTAATCTGTTGGATGGGGTAGTTTATTGGTTTACAGTTCTTAAACTATTGATGTCAAGAACATGAAAGTTTCTGCTTATGTGATGTTAAAAATTACTTGCTGACTTTATTTAGATGAGTGGAAGTTTCCTCTTTTAGTTGGATTTTTTTTTGTAGGACTGTTTTAGTTGGAAATAGCTCATTTCTGGTTATAATTGGATGGTTATTTGCTCTACCCCCTTGTTGAAGTAGGCTTTCTCAAACTTCTGATTGCATATTTTAACCGGTTCATTTTCTGAGAATTTATGTGCTTAATTTCCTTATATAGGTTAGGTTAATTGCTCACAAATGACACCTTTTTCTGTTATAGCAATAACCCGTGGAGAAGTATATTTTGAGCCTCCTTTTAATCTGAATCTTATGTACCTTTGTGGCACTGATATTGGATAATCTTTAATAGGACCAATGCCCATTTCTTGGATAAACTCTTTCAAGAAGGTAACTCCTGTACTCCTATTGATTTTTCCTTTCTTCTCCCTGCTTGTATATGCATGTATTGTAAGGGATGGGTAATTGGATGTTCTGCAAATTCCAGGCAATTTTTTCTCGGAAGGACGGGGAGATTTATGGACGATTTATTGGTAACTTATTTACCCTCTATGATTTTTGTAATTCAATTTTGCTTTTTTTACTACACATCTCGTGAAAATTAAAATTGAATTGAATGCAGCATATTCCCTTGCTCCTTAATATTCATGGGGATTGGCAATGGATGAGTTCTTGTGATCTCTATTTTCCCATTTACATCTATCTATTCTATATCATTTCTAAATAATTTTCGGTGCAATTTTTAAGGCGATGGATGAGTTATTCTTTATTTTCCCATTTACATCCGTCTATAATTTCTAGTGTAAGATGGTAGGTCTGATTGTCAGTGCAATTATTACGGCTGAAGTTAGAGTTGCATGAATAATATTATGCAAGTTGATGGAGTAGACCTCCAAAATACATATTGTTATATGTGTAAATTATGAGTTTCAGCTACTGTATTTATCAAGTCATACTTATGAAGTTACGGTAAATTCAAATACTTATGTTTAATGCTTCCCCCTCATGTTGCATTAGTTAAGACAAGTGATGATAGAAATTCAGTGCCTTAAGATTAATAAGCTTCATTGGTTACTAATTTAGATTCTTATTGGTCCATGATATACAATATATAGTTCCTTTCTGTAGCATTATGGACATAACTTAGAGCTATGGGGTGGGATTTTAAGCACATGGCCTATGCATATTGATAGGATTTTCCTTGTCAAACATTATCTTTCTAAATGTGATAGAATGGTATATCAATTGAAGATGAATCATGATGTGTTTCTTCAGTCCTTATATTGAATATGCAGTTATGTACTGCAAAAATAGAGTAGTCTGTTCTGTTATTTTTATGCTTGAATGCTTCTTGCATGAGTGATATCCAATCTTTACATAATATTTCATTGGAAATGAGAGGAGGTGGAAGATTGAGCTACAAGCATCTATCTAAAACTGTAGGATAGAACAGAAGCTGTTCTTATGGGACAAGCTGCTCTGATAGTTTAAGGTCTGGTGAATGTTATAAGGCAGTGCGGTAAACTAGAGGAAAGTTAATCCATATCTTGGGGAAGAATCCAAACAGAATTATTTTGTTTCCAAGGAAAGGAGCCCAAATAGAACTATTGATACTATCAATATTTTGGAAAAAGAAATAGAACTACCGATACTGTAATTTAACATGGACTTTGAGGTTTCTTATAATAGCCTTAAGTTTCATATTTTATTTGAAAGTTTTAGGATGAGTTTGTTTTGGATGTTTTCAATCCACTATTTCATTGCATGGTTTGCAATTCCAAGACTAGAGGTTAATTGGCTACAGCTAATCAAGTTTGTTGATACAACTCTAAGCAGTTTGTTGATATTACTCTTAACAATTATTGTAATGAATCAGGTGGATCATTTGTTACTGGACTTGCAAATTCCTTTAGTCCATTGTACTTCGTAGTGAGACAGCTTAAGGAAGTAATGCCAACTGAACAACCTTGTGATCTAGCATATGAATTTGGAGATGGGCTGTTTGATCTCCATGAATACCCAGAGGGTTTTCCAAAACCAGGTATGATTTTCCATACATCCAGTGCAATGTGGTCACTAGTTCACTATTAGCAGTGGTCATTCTTTGCAAAAATTTCTTTTGGATTTTTTATTTTATTCAAGGAAATTAATCTTAACTTTTCCAATGAAAAAGCTAAGTACAAGAGAAAAGAATGTTCTGACAAGATGTCTTAATCTAATAAATTAGACGTGGTATCTTAGCCTATTCAAAAATTATAAACTTAGACATGGTAGATCATCTCAACGATGTTTCTAAAAGATGTGGAGTAATTGGAGCACTTGGTGCACAGGTCCAGGAACTATGATCTCTATAAATAGTTGTGTACACAATACACATATCATGTACTCCTAACCATTCTTACCTATATTTTGCATATATTGTAAGTCTTCTCAACATGCTTTTCCTTAGGTTCTCAATTTTCCCCAAAAAAATTTATGTTCTTGGTTCCCGTCACTTTCCACTTCCAGTTCTCGTATCATCTCCACTTCCTTTGAGCTATGATTGAAACTGTCTGGCCATACTAACTGCCAATGAGCTGTGTTTGCCACTAAAGGTTTAGTTGTGGTACCAGCTGTTTGCCAATAAGTTGTCTGTTTGCTCAAACATCAGCTTCTGCAAGGGCCATTAATAACCCGAGCTCAAGTATATTTTCTGTATGCAAATTTATTTTTGGGTTTGTAACATATGTATGGTATTCACTGATATAATTATCTAACTGTAAATAATTTTTATGTGCATTTTGTTTTTTGTAGTCAAGCATCCATATCCTTTCAACGATCAAGTGGTTGTATATGTTCGTCATCTGGGACCGGGTGTTTCAGTAGGGCAAGCATGGCAAGAAGGAAAAGAATTACAACAGGTACCACAAAAGTTATGCAGCGAGATTCTGATGGTGAAAGATTATTCTGCTCTTAGAGAAAATCAGTAATCGTTCTCATGAGGATCATATTTTAGAAAAGGTGAATGACTATGCTGTAATCAATTGTAGCTGGGGAGCTCATGTTGTAGGGTGTTTGGAAAACAAGTACAGAAGGGGTAGGGATCAGGAGAAGATCAATTCCTGTTAGTGTAAGCCAACAGCAAGTGATTCAAATTAATTTGATCTATAAAGTGGTTTTTTTCCAAAGCATTGTTTATCAAAGATGCAGCATTTATTTTTGATGAAGTCAAGATATATAACAAATTATTCAATTAATATGGTTAATGCTGGATATAGAAGCAAATGTGTTTTGGAAGAATGAACTGGGAATTTTCAGATCAGCATATTCCAAACCTGTCAAATTAGTGTGAGAGACATTTAGTGCAGCACATGAAAGGCCTTAAAGGACATAAAAACGCTAGGCAGCCTGGCTACAACTTATTATCATTTAAACGAGCCACCAACTAATTGTAAGGATTGCTGGTGATGCCTGCCTTGGATTTTTGGCCTAGATGATGAGTTATAAATTCCTCATGGCAAGTTGCTTGCTCAATGTCAAGGAGCATGTGATTATGTTGATAATCAATGATCAGTATTTATCATTATGGCCATCATGGCCATCATGGCATGGCTTAAGCCATCGCCCATGAGGAAGAACACTTGTGTAGAACTTTGGTGTGTGAAAAGGCACAATAAACTTGGTGCACCAGAGGGTAAAGTAAACCAATAGAAGAGAAACTCCTACCCAAAGAGGCATTTGATGAAAAGGGCACAACAAACCACATCAAAAGTGGCTTTTGGCAAAGAATTTAGGGTGTGACAATTGAATGTAGCGAAGAGAGGATGTGACCGTTCGTTAAAAGAAATTACATATGTTTGAGAAATGTTGCACCTATTGACTGTTTATAAATAGACAAGTCAAACAAAATGGTTTTTTTTTCTCTCACGTACATATTCAGAAATTATGTTCGCAATAATTATATGTTCACAATGATGCATTTTGATATGTATGCAAATAGGCCTATTGGGTTGTCAACTTCTATCTACATGGAGAAAAACAGCCAAAAAACATGGACCGTGCTAATAGGCCAGAAGCCTCCAAGCCAGTAGGGCTCACTTGGTTTGCTCCTTAACCCACACTTGCATTGCTACAAGACACTCATCTTTAATGACCGCAGAATATGATCTTTAAAAAGATCATGGTCGATCTGTATTTATTTATTTATTTTCTTAATTTTTGTGAGAAATTGTTGAGAAGATTTTAAAGGACCCATTGGTTTGCAGTTTACAAGAATGAGATAATTCTGAATCCTGTTTATAGCTTTTTTTTCACAGGTCCCCGAGCTTTGTCTCTAGACAATAAATTGGAGGGGAGCTGGCCACATCTTCTTTTGTCCGTTTAATTGCTTTCAGTCCCAGACACTCAAAGCCCAGGGATGCAAATGGCACACTGCTGATTTATGAATGTTACCAAAGACAATGAAAAGGTATGTATCAAGTGGTTACTTAGTCTTGTCACTTACTTCCCATGAGAGATGGTAAAGTCTCTAGTTGTAAGGATGAAGGGAAAGGTAGATTTACAGCCAACTTTAAAAAACCATTTCTTGGAAAGACTCACTAGTGTAGCAGTTTGGAGCAATTGCTCTCTCAGGAAAAGTCCTAGATTCTAATCCTAGCATTTATGTAGTGTGTTTGAGTTTAGTAAGTTCTTGCCCCTCTCAATAGGAAAGTTTCTCAAAAAAAGGCCATTTCTTTATCCATGTTGGGTTCAATAGGAGAAAAAGAAAATCAATACATTGGTGTGAGTGAGTGAGAAACAAACATGGTTGAGAGCTTCTTCAATATATTAGTTGTTTCCCTCTTTGCAGGATTTTGCTTTATGGTTGAACCTTGACAAGACCATTAGCTTATTTTTCTGTTTAATAAGCCCACTCAAATGTGCCTACATCTTATGCCACAAGCCTTGAGAGTCTTCTGCAGTTGAAATGGTTTGCAAGACACCAACATGTGACACATACAACTTGGGCAGTTGTAATATTTTATGAGGGGAAAAATACCAATTATCTTTTTGTGAGTGGTAGTTTGGTCATTAATGAAGCAACATTGTTCATACAAATGCAAAAGTTGGCTTCAAAGGGTTCAAAAGTGTAGAAAAGATGCTTTGGAAGGGTCTGCTGAGGTCCACATGACTTGCATGAGTAGGGTTCTTTCTGCATCTACCATCATGCATGCCTTTATTGGAACAACGATTGGCAGACACCCAGAAACCATTATTAGTGGTAAGATTAGTATAGATATGTGTGGTCCAATGTAGGGCATAATCACATAGCTTAGGGCAAATTACCAATCTTTGCAAATCCAAGGTCAGGAATCTTACTTGATGGCAAAGGGAAGGGCCACAGCATGAGCAACACATGAGCAACACCATTCTCATTGCTTGCCGACACTAATTTTGCCTCTCTTATTTCCAAAGAGAAACTTTTTACAAATGCAACAAATAATAGGGGAAAGGAAAGGAAGAACAAATGGCAGAGAGAGAGAGAGAGAGAGAGAGAGAGAGAGAGAGAGTCTGGTTTCAATTGAACTAATGAAATATACAGAGAGTTTTACATGTGTAAAATCTGAAAATTCAAACTACAGAACTCAACCTATCTGGTATTGGAATAAACATTGCTTATCTAAGAACATCACACAGAATTCTTATATGTAAATAAAAATCACCAATAAGTTATGAACCAAACAAGAAAACAAGAAGATGGTGTGAGGATTTGATGTGGAAGACTCGCCCGTGTCACAAATGAACCCAAAAAATGATTGCAGCAATACAAGGACAAACAAAAGCTAGAAAAAGAATATATATATATATATGGGCAATTTAATGAGAAGCAGCTATTTGCATCTACCAGTGCCAATTTTGGGTACCATTTTGAAAACCAAATTGGTTCCCACCTCTTATTCACCCTTTATTTTAATCTGTACCATTATTTTGTACCTCAAATCTCTAGCTCATCTGCTCACCAATTAGATCAAGCCCCACAAGTAGAAATGACACACCTTGGAATAGTAAGAAGTAAAAATGTACCCCTTGGGCTGATAAAAGGCTCCTAAGTGCAGCAGTAAGTAGCAGGAAGGCCAGGGCTAGCTCTTTCTTATAGATCTTGTTCAATTTCTTTACAGGAGGTTTAGGACCAGCTTCTTGATGCTCTAGTAATTTGTTGAGCTCAGATAGGCCACTATCAGAAGTTCCTCTGTAAAGTTGTGGGTGGTTCATGGCCTTTGATTCCCTCTCCTCCACAGCTAACAGATCAGGCTCTGATGACCGACCTGCCTTCTTGGTGACAACCCATTCATATGAGCTCCCCAACTTGAACAAGCCAGATACCATAGCATTGAATTTGGTAACAGACATTGTGTTTTCAAACAGAAGGTAAGGGACAATGAAGGGGAAGGATCTAAGGGAAGGAAGAATGTTCATGAATGACATAAATACGGGCACATAGCAAATAACCCACATGGACAGCTCAGCTTCAGGGACAAACATGGTCAAAGGAAGTATTATGCAGAACAATGTGAAAGAATAAAATGGGAGAATTAACTTCCTAAGAAGAAAGAATAATAGTATCAAGTTTGCCTTCTTCCAGAACATCATCTGCAGTATGGCATGTAGGACATTCTCAGAACAATATCATTTAGAAAAATACCTTGATCAAGGAGGAGAATCTAATTGTAACAGTACCTTAGAACTGATGATGGCTGGAAGGCACAAACGGAAGAGATGCATCGGACCAGAATGCCAACGGTGTTGCTGCTTTTTGTAAGCTTCATAAGACTCAGGAAGTTCACAAAGGACCTGAAAATCAGTTTCTTAAATTTGAGACATCATTTGAAAAGTTTTAGGCAAGGTTTTACCAACTCATGATGAAAAATGCCCGAAAACCATATAGTTAAGGACTAAACATAGGATCAGGTAAGGTTGAATTTGGATTTGAAATAATTAAAATTACCTTGACATCATTGAGGAATATGAATTTCCAACCATTCAGATGGGCACGAACTGCTATATCCATGTCTTCTACTGTTGTACGCTCGAGCCAGCCTCCAGATTCTTCAAGTGCTTTGATTCTCCAAACTCCAGCAGTACCATTGAAGCCAAAGAAGTTGAGGAAAACCCCATTAACCTGCTGTTCCACCTCAAAGTGGAAGCACAAATTGATGTTTTGGAGGCGTGTCAACAAGTTCTCATCCCTGTTAACAAAAGCCCACCTAGCTTGAACCAACCCCAGCTCAGGATTGTCCTACCACACAAATTAGAACCACAAACCAAAATCAGTCACCTAAAGTAGAAAGGGCTATAGAGACCAGACAAAAAGCTATATGAGATCTAGCCACCTTAAAATGGGGAACTGTCAGCTTGAGGAAGTCAGAGTTTGGTTGGAAATCAGCATCAAAGATTGCAACAAACTCGTAGTCCTTCACATAATCACAATTCATTGCCGACTTGAGATTCCCAGCTTTATAACCAGTTCTAACCAAACGATGTCGGTAGATAATATTAACACCCCTTTGGTTCCACTTGGCTACTTCTCCCTTAATTAACCACTGTATGCTATCATCATCAGAATCATCCAGAACTTGAATCAGCAAGCGTTCTTTGGGCCAATCAAGTTGGCAGACTGCTGAAATAGATTGTTCATACACCTAAATACATTTTATGTCACAGTCATGAATAATCCATGAAAACCAGTAAAAAAGTGCCTTAGAAATCAATTTGTACAGTTATGTATTTAGTTAGTTACCTTTCCAATTATAATGTTACTCAAATTTGAATGGTCAGATAAAACTGAAAAAATCTATCAAAACTAGTAATTGCTACACTAGTTTCATCAGTAAAACTTTAACCAGAAAAAAAGCATTGAGACTGTTACCTCTCTCTCATTGCACATAGGAATTTGAACAAGAACCTTCGGATAATAACATCCTGCACCTTCCAAATCGTGTGACTTCAAAGGGGTTTCTTCAAACCTTGGCTTAATCTTCTTGAACTTGATCCAGAAGCAACCTAAACAAAGCAGCATACGGTCGGCAGACTGGATTAAGAAGAGAGCAACACAGAAGTTAGTCAAAGCTTGAATTGCAGGTGCAATGTAGTCGGCCCGGAACTCCAACCATACAAAATAA